TGGCCTGGAGCAGCTAAGAAATCATAGTCTGATTTTCAATTTATGCAGCTGGAAAATTTTACAGTTACTTCTTTTGGTGCTCCTTTACCTGGTGATCACTCTCCTGACGAATTTTGTTTTTGTTTCACTTCGTAGCCTCTTACACAAAGTTTTTTTTTTTGACATATCGTATCCTGATAGTTTACAAATGATGTGTATTTTTTTTTTTTGAGTAATTCGGAAAATTTAAAAAAAAAAGAGCAATTGTATTTTAGAGTGTTCGGCGTTCACGATTTGGCGGTTGAATTTGCCGTGCTGTGTACCGCGACGCTTGGACCTGGATTTCTGATGTATTTTCGGCCTCACATGCATCGATTGGGACGATGGAAACGTGTGGAGTACAGTGTATTTGCGTCTGTTATGTTCACATATGGATCCCTTTTCACTCTTGTTTTCATCAAGGATCTTTTGCCAAACACGTAAGGTTTACTGCTGTTGCGTAGAGAAGTGGAGAAATGAATGAAGGTAAAGCTGTTGAAAAGCGTAACTGTATTTACAGCTAAGGGATGAAACACACAAGCTACAAAATGACCTATCTTTTTGTTCCATGCAAAATTTTCATACAACTTCAGTGCTTACAGCTAAGGGGTGAAACACAGGCAGACCAATTTGTGCATGTTCTTTTTTGCATGACTTTTCATGTTACGTGATTTGTACTACATTAACAGCCCTACTAACTTTCCCAGTATAATCTATTAACTATTTCCACCCTACACTAAACTTTATGGCCGTTCAATATTTTCCATGGTTTGGACTGCCCGTTTGCTTCATAAATTACGATTCGGCCTGCCAAGGGTCGCAAAATTTTCTAATCAATTTAACCTACTCCGGCCATTCCACTTGGACTGTCCACCGACGATTCGACCTTCTGACGACCGCTACTTATCATTTGTCGCGTTGTATTTAGTACGAAAAGGAATGTAACGTTACTATACTGGAAACGTGGATGCCTATGATTCAA